AACATCTATAACAAATCTGTCTCACCACCCTGTTTCCATGATGCCTGGAGATAACAATGAGCTATTACTAGAAAACAGAAAACGTATTTTATTTTGTTTTGTTTTGTGGTGTGAAATTAAGTTGTAAAACTGCCAAGAGAACCATTCTCCCTTGTTGTCTGGTAACTTCTTCCACACATGCAAATAAAACTGAGCACAGTGTCGGGGTAGTCCAGGGAGCAGAGGCATCTCTCAGTGGCCAATGATGTAACTGTAGATGTACTGGCACTGAGTAAGGTCATTCTCTGCAAACTGAATATTACTGATTGTCCCTTTAATGTCCCTTTATGGTACTTAAGAGGTTCAAGGCTGTTTCATCAGTTTCCACAGCCACAGCAAGTGGTGAGATGGGATTTGCTGCTGAGTCACTTGTGCCAGTGAGACAAGCATGGTAATATGTTTGCTTGATGAGTGGCCTTTTAAACACATAGATATCCCATAGAAACATTTCTGAACTGCTTGACTAGAGAAAAGTTTTCATCTTAATATTAATTAAATGACTTAGTTGGAAACTTCGGCTAATCATTTGCACTCATGGGTTAAGTTCGCAAACACATTTTCCTGACCCTATCAAGCCAATATGTCCTAAGGTTTAAATAAGCTGCAACAGCAGCATTCTCTTTCCCTTTCTAATATACGTCTTTGCATTTTATGTAAGGAATAATAACACCTGTCATGAATGGATTGGAACGCACAAACTTTTTTACCTGCTGCCCACATGCCAACAAAATGCCATATGTAATTTACTCATATAATGGGAGACAGACAATGTAGAATCGTTTCTGTGTTTTTAGTGCTCAAATGGAAGAAGATAATATAACTCTTATTTCCCTTATTACCTGTGTTACTTACCCATCTCTGTTGTGTTTATTGTGTGGGTGCAGTGACCTCTCATCCCAATCCCCCACATGCTGCTTGCAGTAACTGTGGTCTTGGAATCTCAGTTTGTAACACTAATTGTAAATTATCATGTACGTGTTTAAAAAGTAAATATAAGAGATTGTTGATTTCCTATTTGCATCTTGCAGGAACAATAATTCACAGTGTCATGAGTGTATCTTGCACAGATTTAATGCTGGAGAGTTAATCACAGTCTGGAGCATTGCACAATTTCTATGTACCTTCATTTCATTTAGCTGATACTCTGATCTGAGTTATCTAAGCGGAAAATGAGTCTTGCTCTCTGTGTCTTGCTCAAGGACACATCAGCAGGCTACAGGGTTATTGAACATATTGGCTGCCGCATGGATTAAATCTCTGCATCAACATCCTGCTGATCACAATAAAGTACTCTGTCAGAATGTGCTGTAGTATACTGTAATTACGTTTATTTGGGGCTCAAATAAAATATAGTGGGCCCACTATGGGAGAGGTCACCTCATAATGACAGCTGATGCTTAAATAAGAGCCGTTAGGAGAATAAAGACTACAAAGATCTATATTAAATGTAGCTGAGTTCATTTCTAGTGAACCAGGCAGATGTTTTACTCAGAATATGCTGTACTATACATTGTTTGTTTGTTTGTTTGTTTGTACATCTGTTAGGCTGACTGTCACTGCAGTGGTGTGTTTTATAGCCAACAGCTTTATAACATTGGTTTCTCAATAGCTCATGTAAAAGCTTTCCTTGGTTTTGGTTGAATTATTGGGGTGTCACCTTATTGACTGGGGCTTTTTATTCTATTTCCAGTTTTTCTCTCTTAATGGATCAGTGTGTAGGATTTAGTGGCATCTGGTGGTGTAGTTGCAAATCATCTTTCATAAGTCCCTCACTTCACCCTCCTCTTCCAAGCTCGAAGGTGGCCATAAGAGGCGCAAACACCTGTTTATCTATCTACACGGTGGACTCCATGAAAGGCAACCCGTGGTGTCTGCGGATAGAAACGGCTCATTCTAAGGTAACAAAAACTTAATGACTCCTATATTCAGGTGATTATACACTTATGAAAACATAGATGTGCATATTATAGTCCATTTCTCCCAATAGATTTTCCTAAATGTTACACACTGGACCTTTAACTTCCAGTCATTATTGCTGGCTTTAGTAAATGCAAGTAAAAAGTCATGGTCTGCTATACATTTTAAAAAATAGAAAACTGGACTGTATGTAATAGTGAACAGTAACTATAACCAGATGAGTGTTTGTTGAAGAAATATTGTATTGACACATTTAACTACCCTAATCAAACTTCTGTTATGATATCATATTGTTATAAACAGAGAATTAAACAAACAAACAACACTTCTGACCAGCCACCAATACTGAATTTTAACAGTATGAAATGACTGGCTGATCCCAGAGCTGTGTGGGAGAACTGATCTAATTAGCACCACTAGGCAAATAGCAGTCATTGTTTGTCAGACTGCTGTAGTAAAAAGTCTCATTTTCTTCCAGCTTTGTCAGTCTTTTATGCAGTGCTTTATAAAACAACACAGGTATTTGCTAAGATGTCAGACAAAATCAGCAGATTGACACAATGCAGTGTAAACAGGAAGTACAGAGAGTTATTATGTTAAAGGCAAAACATTGAAAACATAGAAATAAAGAAACAGTGTTGTTTTTGTATTGTGGTGTAGAGCTAGTTAGTTCGAGTAATTTTAGATATTAAGAAAAAAAATCAAAATCTTCATCATAACAAAGCTAATTTTAGCTGCAGAGCTTGGAAAGGCTAGAGGTATATCGGTATCTCGGATAACAAGTTTGGCTTAATATCATTTAAACGGGTGAGTTCGCCCCCCATGCAGAGCAGGGAATATTAACTATAGAGACTGAAATTGTTTTAATATGGGTCCTTGTGGAGACTCACTTCTGTAGCCAGCCTCCAGTGGCCGTTCGAGGCACTGCAGTTTTCGTTACTTCCCTGCTGGCTTCATTTGCCAGCCACAGAGGTTGCTGCTTGCATAAGACCAAGCTCTTTTAACGTAAGTTGAAATCCCACAAAATAATGTAGAGTGAAATGCTGCTGGCCTTTGACGTAGGCTAACACTCTGTTATCACTGTAGCAAATTAGCTGGGCATGCTAATGTTTGTTTAGCACAGACACGCTACTACATACTTTTGCTCTTGAATATTTTGTTTTTAGAGGGGCTATAAAAGAAATAAACCACCATCCAAACTCTTTAGAGTATCACTCTCACTATAGCCCCATGCACACTGCTTCAACATGCTGAGACATCCAAAGTTTGACAGGCCTGCTGTGCCTACAGTTGAAATGTTTGCTATGATAAGTTATGTAACGCATGTACATACAAAATAATGCATGATATATGTATTAAAACACAGAGAGGAAGAATATTAATTGAAACGAGAGTGTAACAGGGATGAATGTTAATTACGGTTATAAGGTTTACAGCACATGGGATCAATGATGTCTTTGGTGTGAGAGATTTAGCCCGTTTTTGCCTGAATATGTGATGCAAAGCTTCAATTCTCCTCACAAAGGAGCAACCAGTTGAGCGTCTGATGGCTCTGAGCAGACCTGTCTGACACAGACATCAATGAGGTCGGCCTTCTGAGGCTAAGCTTAGGCATAATAATTAATCTTCTTTGACATCATCATCCTCAGTGTCACCTAGCAACCATCCATCTGCATTAGCAAGACCACAAAAGAGGCCTGTCATGGGCTGTCTGGGGTGGGGCTTTCACTGATTACAATGCAAATGCCTCCATGTTGAAATCCACTGAAACTCACTTTCTGTTCCATTTGTACGACAGCATTTTCAGTCTGAATGTAAAGAGAAATTCTAAATATATAGTATGGGATGTTTAAAGGGAGCAGAAATTAACACTTTTCTGGAAAGATTTTATTTTTGGCTTTAGCTGTCATTGTTTGCATTATAATGTCTACTAATTGAGGGTCTGAATTTCACACTCTTATTAACTGTTACACCACAGGTGAGAACAAAGGGGGGAAAAGCATCATCACCTACTCATCCAATCTTTTCTTATATCTTATACATATACATACATTTTGGATCTACCACTGCATAGCAATTATGTATAGTAAGGGGAAAGGTGGGAGAGGTGAGAAGGTTACAATCAGTTATTTGGTTTCAGTTAGAAAATATATCTTCTGGAGAGAAAATTAAAGGGAGGGGGGATTTAAATAACTTTCATTAAATGTTGATGAGCTCGATTAGCTCTACCAATCACCTAAAGAGACAACCAATTTTCTTAAATAAGTCTACATGCATGCACACCACAGTGTGTGCACCCAGAGATGTACACACACTCTCAGTCAGCTCATATACATGATAAATTTGATAACCAGACTAGTCTTTTCTGTCTCGCTAACAGACAAGATTAAGTTCTCAAATGACAAATACTGAATTTACTTTAGCAACCACATTATAAACTACTGCTTGCTATCTCTCACTCCCACACACGCAGTGCAAGGTGCACAGATTCAAGCCTAACAGCAGTAATCCACAGAGGAAAAGAGAGACCAAACTGCCTCTCAGCTGACAACTGGAAATTGCAAATGGCAATGTGTTCAGGTAAAGACTGTGACTGAGTTCCTCACCGGGTTTAGTCCTGGAAAATTGGGGAATAACAGGCTGTCATACGGGGTGACACATCAGCCTTTGTTAAAGAAATTACCTTGTTCTTTGCCCAGCTCTCTGATGCTCGGCCTCCTGCACAAATTGTCCATTTGGAGAGTGCAGACTAAATGGAACTGCGTCTTTGGCATGTTGCTCTACCGAAGCACAAAGAGCCGGGGCAGATAGGAATCCAATTATCCAAGGCAAATAATGGATGTCTCATTTAAGATGTGCGGCAGTTGCGACAGTAATGGCAGTGCCACAATTTTCCCGAAGTCAGTCTCTATCAACTGCATCATCTTCTGCCTAACACTAACTCATGTATAGCCATATACTACAAGCTGTCAAGCATTATAGATCACAATAAATCTTCTGAAGACAAGGGAAACATGGTTGTCAAAGATAGAATATTTACTCACATGTAGCGTAGGTGTGGATTCTGAGCAAACGCTCGAGCCTGGATCACCCTCAGGTTGCAATTCATGATAGTTCTGAAATGATAAAATACAGATGAACTGTGAAGAAACCACATGAACAAAGACATTTATTTTCTTCTTAGTGTGGGCACATGCAAACCATACACACAGTGTTCTGATCATGTAACTGCATCAAGGCCATTTTCCTCATAATTCCTTATTCTGTTTGTGCCTCTTCGATCCTCATGTGGATTTTTTTCCCCTGCTTTGGTCTGTTTTGTAGAAGCCTCAGAAATGTCATTTTTTTTGTCTTTTCCAGTTTGAAATTATTTTGTCATACTGTATATAAAAAGAAAAATGGTGGTATTCACAGGAAACAATAATGTACTGCATTATGTTTCTTTACTGTGATACCTAATATGCATTTCAAGACATTTTTCAGGCCCTGCCGCAGCAGTCCACTGTAACAAATCAGAATAGTTCCTTGTCTATTACAATTATTTTAGCTTCATGTACACCCTGCGGACCTGACACTGAAATAGAAATTCACTTTGAACCACCATTCGATGAAAGATTTGTGAGCTTGTGTGTCTTTACTGTAAAGCCAGTGAAACCTCTGATTAACACATTTCCTCATTGTGTTAACTTGTAAGTGAAAAAAACTGTGAAATTAAACTAATCCTCATTTTGCTGGGGACCCTGTGGAATCCTCTCAAGGAGTCCTGGAATTCCCAGTGCCCCAGTTTGGGAAACACTGTTATGGGCTACAATGGTAATGACTTCTAATCTTGTAATCACAGATGTCTCTCTCCAAAGAAGCCATTGACATCATCAGTGAGCGCCTCATAACACAGCGTGCTGATTATATCCAGCTGTTGATGCCAATTACCTTCCAGAAGTCTGATCACGCCTCTGTGGCATTTGACTGGGATGTGGCTTTTCATCACCCAAAAGTTCCCAAAGTGGGTCTCCAAGTATCCTTGAGAAGTGTTGTGAGGCCTACGGGAACCTTCTGATGGGTTCCCCAGAAAAATTAATAAACAATAATAACTTTTATTTCACTCCCTAGAAAAGAGCCCAACAGTGTACAAGGATGACTGTTGAGCTTTGGTTATTATCCTCCCAGCAGTGATGACAACAGTAATGACAATTATGTTGCACATAATCATCTCTGTAAACAGCAGTGATTTGATGTTTGCTGCATTTAATGTGAGGTCTTAAACAAGTTTTGGAAGCCGGACATTCGACTGAAGGATTTTCTGATCTTTGTGTGATTGTTTAGTTTTCTGAACCACACAAATAACCAACTGAAAGGCCACAGCACTTCACCAAAACATTTTATTCTTATATTGTGCTTTGAAATACCTTGAAAAATCTGACACACTATCTGTCAAACTGCCTAAAAAAAAGTAGTAGTATAAAGTATATAGCCGAAATTTCAGCACATATTGTTGTAATGCACAAAAATAACAGGGATTGGTCTGGTTATACTCCATGTTTTTTTATTATCAAAATCCATCAAGAGACAAACGTGGCACTGAATTGATATTACTAACAAGTATCTCCTGTGTAGCCAAAGCATTATATCTCTATTCCCCTTATTCCGATTTTAAAACCAGAACAGACCATGAGCCACGGTGTTGCATTGTGCTAGTGCACCAAATGTGTATTAATCCTCAACTGAAAATAGTCCTAAACAAATGCACAATTTACTACTGGTAGATTAATGTTTTCAAGAAACTACAGTGGCCAGCTGTTTAAGAAAATGATTTAGCCTTGTTTAAAAATGAAAGTAAACATTTGTAACCTGTTTTTAAAGATTTAGGAGGGTTGACAATTGGCAATAAAATAAAAAAATAACAATAACATTTTAACCAGCCTTGCATTTGAAGATAACTGAATACAGTGAATACAGTAAATAGCACGAAACTATTGTGTATGTTATAAGAGATTTCTTTTAGTTAGATTGCTAATGACAGGTCTAACCAAAAGATAAGTCAGTAGTCTGCTGTTAGTGTTTAAATTGAAAATCTGTTATTTGATTAATGATAAGTAGACTCGAAAATATGAGCAGAGAAGCAACAGTAATTATTTCACACTTGTAGAAAGATGAGGGTAAACTATTGTGCTCCTCAACGAATATAATAATAAACCACTGAAGAATAAAGTTAGCGCCCTATTCTGGAGATGTACAGTACAGTTATATAACAGATTAAATTAGTCAGTGTTTATTTCAGTGAATTAAAATATCCTAGAGTAACTTCTTCTCACTCATCCCGCCATACTGCTAACAGCCCCCACAAGGTAACAGCCTTCCCTGGAAAGGCCCGACTCCTCCAGCCAGGGAGGAGCCAGTGTCCCCAGACAAGGCAGCAGGAGAGAGGCAGTGGTAATGAGAAAAATGCTAATTTAGTGGTGGAGATATTGCACTTGGCCTCCCTGATGAGGGATCAAGGGGATCAGGGGAGAGGCCAGCTCTGACTTTGGAGGGCAAAGGAGAATACGGTTCTCTGCAGAGAGAGAAAAAATTAAGAGGAAGAAGAGGTCGGGAGACAGCAACTGAGGGAGGAGTAGTGGGGCAAGAGGAATGTAAAGGATGTGGCCTCATGGTACGGGGTAGCAAAAGCAAGAAAGGAGCGTAACATTGCTTTAAGAAGTGAAAAGATGAGAATTAAAAAAAGGAAAAAAAATCACAACACAACAGCAGGGGCTCCTAATTCAATTTTCCCTGCTGCTTTTTAGCATTATTTGATCAGTGGCTTAGCAAAGCGAAGGGGATGTTCCACCGGCGTGTGACTGTCGAGAATTAAAAGCTTGTTTAAACATCAGCTTGTGTTAGGATCAGAAACACACACCCCGACTAACACCTTGTCATCTCCTCTGAGAATTAGCCTGGATTGTGTCACATTCAGAGAAGTATCGGACATTAAATCCCGATGCGGTGCTGGTGATGCAGCCACTTGTGCTCTGAGCTGAATTACTGCTCTCATCTCTGGAAGGAAATCACTGGCCGCTCTACAGTGAGCAGGTGGGCAACATGATGGAAAACAGGGATTAACAGCAGTACAGGTTCCACTGTGGTTTTCCAGACTTGCAACACAGTAGGCAGGGACATGCACATTTTGAGGGGCTGTTGTTTTAACCTGAAAAAGATAACCCTAACCCATACCCCTAACCCTGTTAACTAAGTTAAGTTTGGTTCATGTGATTGCATAATATAAGGCAATATTATTACTGACTCTCTTTAACCCAAACCGGTCAAGGCAGATGGTGCCCACCTAGAGCCGGGGTCTGCTCAAGGTTTCTGCCTGTTAAAAGGAAGTTTTTCCTTGCCACTGTTGCCAAGTGCTTGCTCGTGGTGGGACCTGTTGGGTCTCTGTAAATCATTTTATAAGGAGTACAGTCTAGACCTATTCTATTTGAAAAGTGTCTTGAGATCACCTGTTACTATACTAAAAAGAATTGACTAGTTGCGCATTATTTAGAAGCCTAGATGCATATTTTTATTCACAAGGCATCCCACTGATTCTACCATTCATCGTTAATAATTTCCACAACTTTCTAACGCTCACTAAGAGCCTTCACAAGTCATCAACAATAAGTTTGGTTGCCACGTACTTACAGATACTACAGTGTCACATGACAGGGAACATCACGCAGGCAAATAAAAGTTTGGATATTTTGTAATTATGGGCTGCTTGTATTTATGCTGCAGCAACTATACAACTTTTTTTTTTTCTCCAGTGGGGCAGCTTAGCCCAAAAAGGGCAAACGGGCTATTGGTCGGGCAACTTTAGCCTTATGCATGCCCTTGACAGTTGGACTAAAATAAAGTGCCTATCACTTGTCTCCCCTCGCTCCTCTCCAGATAACAGCAGCATCAACACTCACAGTCTCTGTAGTCCAGTGTAGAGCTCCATATCGACGTCTCTCAGAGTCTGCAACCCTGTCCAGTTCTCTATGTGTCTGTAAACAGAAAGAAAGAGAATGGTAAATAAGAGGTTCTTGTTCATCCGAGGAGAAAGGAAAACAAACCAGGAGATATGACGGGAGAAAACTTTTTTTTTTAGTCCCAAGTTGCAAAATAACTGGCTGTGTGTAGTCAAAGTTTTTGAATCCATATTCATTTAAATTGCAATTATTGGAACAGTTCTGACAGAGCGCTCTCTGCTGCCCTCTGATAGATTTAATTGCCAAGAGGCAGCTTCTGAAGCTTAATCTATGTGAGGGGAAGTGTGAGGGGGGACCAAATAAATAGTCCAGATGACTTTACTTCTGGTAATGCTATCACTAGACTCCCAGGGGAAACTCTTTCTATGTGGTGGGATAAAAGACGTGAAGCTGGCGCCTTCAAATTAGCTTTAGGAAAAAGAGCATTTGTAAATTATTTGTTTGTTATGGTTTGGTAATGAAATAGGCAACACACATAGGGCACACCGGTTTCAATTAAGCTGGGGAAATGAGGAGATGTAGCAGAGGACATGGCAATGGCTTTATTGCTTTGTTTTGGAAAGAGAAAAATATGATTAAACGCTAAAGGGAACTTCATCCTAAATGTCAAATTTCAAATCAATGCCAACACAACAATCAGCGAGACACACCAAGGTTTTTTAAATGGCAGCATGGCAGCTGATTGGCTGTTTCCTGCAGCAAACCTGCATGTACACATATGGTTTAGACATATATAGGGACACAAAAATATATACCATCCACATACATGCACATAGAATACCAGTCTTGCAGCCAAATCCTTACATTTGAACTGCACTCACATTTCATCTTCATCTTTCAGTATGAGTTCTGGGATCAGATAACACTTTGTATTTTGAGGTAACAGCAGGAAAATAACCTTCTTGCAATTGGTTTTGGCAAAACTTGTGCTCCTGTAGCATATCTTTTGGCTCTTGTGCATCTGGTGTACAATGATGAGGCAGCATCTGAGACATTCTGTTTATTTGAGCGCAGCGCTCTGGGGTGCATCACCTGCTTTGGTGGAGGGGAGGATTCAGGTCTGTAACCAGCACTGGTTGAATCCTACCGAGCATTACTTTATTGTTGGCTACTGGGTTGCCAATTCTTTCATGGAGGCTGGCAGGTGGGAGCAGTTAACAGTAAGACTGATGCTTTTTCAGGATGTTTTCCCAATAAATGAATTCTGGCTACATCCAGAATAACAGCAATTCTGATCATAATGTGAGCAGAGATCTGAAAAAAAAAGAATCTGATTTGTGCAGGTGTAGCGGTGACTGAGGTTGTTTTTCTTACACTGGCTTTGTAGTTCAAACCATATTCAGCTGTCCACCTACGCATGTCTGCTTTCATACTAGTTTACCACTATTCTGATCAGCATTCACTTGCATGATCATATTGCCAAACAACATAGCCTGTTTACTGCTGTTTCCAGGAAACAACGTTGCCACCAATTTAAGTCCCATTTACACATTTAAACTTGTCATTTCAAGTGTCTCATATCTGCATATATATATCCTAACCAAATAAAAATCAATGGCAGCTCTACTACAGTCCAGAAGGTGGTGGTAAGAAGCTGTCTGGTAACTGCAAAAAATGCCAGAAGAAGCATAACTTGAGCACTTTAGTCGTTTAGTCACAGCAATTGTCAATTAGCAATAGCAGCTAGCTAGCTGACCACTACCCATAAATGAACACAAACATGGATGATTTGCTTTTATGAAGTAGGAACGAGGCTCTCTTTCATATTGCTCTCTCAAGCAAACAGCTCATTCCATGGTCAAACTGATCAGAGATCAGATGATTTACAGCAGCTCGGTGCCACTTCTGTGAGATTGAATGTTCGAAATTACTCCAGCCGTTTTTTCCTGTCATTTTAATGAGACAAGGAGAAGAGCTAATTTCAGTGTCACTGATTATCACGCGTGGCAGACCGTGTAGAGGCTACTTTCACAGTAAAGCTGGATGCATTTACACATTTTCAGCATCTAGCTAGAATGTGTCTACAATCAGATTTTTGTTTTTGTTTTTGTGTGAAAGCATTATAAAATGCGTGTCAGCTGCTTCATGCCGACAGAGTAACATGGCTGATGTTGAGATTAATGTTGAACTGAAGGCAGCTGATTCTAAAGGCATTGAGCTGAGTCATTAATGTGACCTGCAAGCAGACATGACGGATTCCCCTCACAAGGCTTTGCTTATTCACAGGCCCGCTGTGTTACCCCAGCGACAGGGAGAGAGGGCAGGCTCGAAGGAAATTAAATCCACACACTGGGGTCTCATGTGCTATGAGGTTGGAGTCTTCCCAAAAGAGGGGCAACGTGGCCAAGGTTATATTGAGCAAAAATTTAAAAAGTAAAAGTCCAAAATGATTTAGGTTATAGTGTTTTGACATTTTGAGCATTTCCTTGCAGACATAGAAATCTCCCAGCTGAATTTGTTAAAGACAGTTCACATAACACCTCAAGAAGAGAAGTCAACTGTAATAAATATCCAATCAATACACTTAAACTTTCACTACTCATGCCTTCAAAAATAGGTGAAGTGATAGATCAAAATAATTTTGGATCAATTCTAACAAAGTAATTGTAACCATTGGAGGTAGGAAACATTAGTTTTGAATTACAAAATGAATGACTAACAATAAAAAAAAATCTAAATGTGTTTCTGAACATGTGTTTATACTGCTCTGTAGCATATATCTTTATTATTAACATTATATTATAATTAACAGTATTATTATTTTAAAATAAATCATGTACCTGGACCAAATTCCTAATTTCCTATAGGTAAATGGAAAGTTTGTACACACGTTACACATGTAAATTAATTCAGGCTCAAATCACATAAAAGAACAAAATAACAGAAATAGCAATCACACTTAGTGGAAGACTCTGCATTTCATTCAACCAACACATTTTGGCAAACATACAGCATATACAAACACCACAATATGGCTGTACTTCAGTTATCCAATGAGGACTAAATTCAGATTTGGCCGGCCTCAAATCTCTTTAATTGAATAACTAAAAATAAAAAATAGTCTCTAATGCAAAAATCCTCAGTCAACTCGCTTGGATGGAAGCTTGTGAAATTAAACATCCAGACGGCTTGATTCTAATCCTGAGGAACTTTTCAGTCCCAGATCCTAGGACCAAAGAGCGTTAGTAAAATAGTTTTTCAATAAAGGGCAAGACAAACCTGAAAGAAAAATGAAAAAGAAATCAAACTGAAGACAGCTATGAACCACAACTTAACTACTTTTGTTACCTGAGCACCTAGTCGACTGAAGCAGTAGCAACAGCATATTCTTCCTTAAGTCACATAAATGTTTATGAATGTAGTACTATGGAAAATTGCAAAATGTGAAAAATGAAAACAAAATTACAATTATAGTTTTTCTCCAGAGTCACAAAATGATTACTAAATAAGAAACAGCTGAGCAGTTTCCTATTATATTTAGAGAGCTAATGTACACTGAACCTTGTTCAGGTCTTAGCAGTTGTTTTCAGGCTAATGTGATGTACTGAAATAGTTTGACAGTTTTATACAGTTTTTGTCCTCATTGGGAAAGTCATTTGGCAACTACAGTGATTAAATACCCAAGCTAAAATGACTGGCTTGCATTAAACGGGACATAATTTCAACAATATTGTATACCATATTAAGATACTTTTGCAATATTGTGATGTGAAAAAAAAGAATCATCATCATTTATGTGAGCACAAAATGTTTTCATTTGCAACACTCCTTTATACTCTGTGATATAATTTAGCACGTTCTGCATTTTCATCAAGCTGCTGTCAACAAACAGCACAGAGGAACCAGGCAACACCTCCCTGCGGACCTGAGCACGTTGTCTGCTCAAAACCTCTGATTGTCCGCGGCACATTGAATATGCATGTGGATTAGACTGCTGTGAAAAGATGGATATGAATAACAAAGATGCTATGATAATACAGGAGCATTCAATCTCTGTCCTGTTATTCCCGCATCCTTGGAGGATGCACAAATAAAATGGTACAAAAATAAAATCAACATTACTCGAAAAGTAATGGTGATGCTAACATTTCAAGTTTCAGGCATTCAAGTAGGAACTCTCGTCCAGACTTACAATGAGTCAGACAGTACAATAATATTAAATCGCCACTTTGTCAAAATTAATATTACACAGAAGAAAGGAGATTTGAGCAAAGGAAATAAAAGGGGGTGTGAGTTTCTTGACAAGATGATTAGAATGAAAGTCTGGCTCACTTATTTCTGTCTCTTCTCTATTATCTGTCTTATTTGTTCTCTGTACAGTATTTTATAACAATCCTGTTTTCTTAAAGAGCTTTCTAAATAAATTTGCCATTGCATGACTTGATGAATACCCGATAAGCACAAAGGAAATGAGCAGGATGCTATTGGAACAAATTGTTCAGGCAGATCTACCAGCAAGCCTATGAAATTACAACCACCTCCCATCTGCTTTAGAAAATGGCCTCCAACAAAGTACAATCTGAACTGGGTGGCAGGGTGGTCTGGTGCTTGAGGAGAACACCCTGGAACCAAACAGTAACAGATTCGATCCCAGCAACAGCCATCTGTTGTGTTGCAGTGGCCCAGGGCTACACACTCAACCCCTACCTGCTATCTTGTTCAGGGCTTCTGTGAATATGCTGTTTCTTAATAGGTGAACACAACAAGTAACAGCACAAGGTTGAAAAAACAAGAAGGATACAATTTATGAACATCACAAACTGGATAGCTCCGCATTAAAAGCCAACGAGACGTTCTCTGCTCTCCTATAGCAACTGCTGTGTTGTATGGAAGTTTATTAATGACAAAACTATTGAGCAGAAGAAGAATATTGGAGGACTTTTCTTACTACTGTCTATGTGCATTCTCTCACTTTTAACACCAGTGTTGGAAATTATAAAGTAATACGTTACTGTAATTTCACTACTTTTGGTCACTAGTATTGTAATGTAAAGTTCCTTTATCTAGTAACTTAT